AAAAAGAGAGAGATAAAGCCCGAGTCGAATCCATGCTTGTTCCTGGCTCCTTCGGCTAGAATGGCACTGCTCAACAGCAGGATTGCCGTCGACAAGAACTTCATTGTTGTTATCTACCTCCTTTCGTACCGACTGTACAGGTATATTCCAAACTGCTTTATCTAAGACTAATAGCAAAAGTGAAGATGGCGTATCTGTCTTTGTCACTACTTGCAGTGGAGATATTAGATCAATCAGCGAGCAACCGACCTTGGCGTTGATACTGATGCAAGTTGTGAGAGTGCTGTACGCGTTGTACAGATAATGTCTACTGTCCGTAGTTAGCGAACTTCATCGCTATCGAAAGCCTCCTCGGCGACGACCGACCGGAGTGTTCGTCTACAGCTCCGAAAGGAGTATATCAGAGAGACCTCGCTGAAATCCCACAAAAACCTATACAAGCGGATGCTTTTAGAGCCCCTCAACTGTTGGAGGGGCGTTGAGCTACCTTGCGGGCTCCTTGTGCCGTCAAAATGTGGTACCACTCGACCAACTCTCAAGCCTAAGTATCCTTGTGCGCTGGCCCGAGGTAGGATATTTAGACAGTAAGAGTTGGATACTTAGACAAAACCTCTCGCAGAAATGTTATGGCGGGGAGAGTGTTTACGGTGAGTACTGGAGACAAATTTCAGAAGTCTCCGATTGATAAAGCTTCTTAACTTTTGAGACAGTTCGAAGACTCTTCATTTATTTACGGGATTCTGTGACAATGTCAACGGTACTGTAACATCGTCCAAAAGCAAAATTCTTAGGAGGAATTGTCTTCGGAGGAGCACTCATCCCCGCACTCAAAATCAGTCTCACATTATTAGAAAATTTGGGCTCTTCTTGCCACTTCCAGCTTCTACCGTTACGGTACTCAGTAGTCTGCCACGGTGCGTCACCGCTACCGATACGATCGCGCTGATTTTCGCTGCGACGCAGTTTAAAAAGTACAATGTACTACCGTAGCTAGTACCTGGTACAATTATGTCATAGATAGTTGAATGTTAGAATGATTGATTCAATCAATTGAAACATGTGCCGCATGGCGACCTTACCATACATTACAATCATTTTTTGTATTTCCGTCGTTGTCATTGAAGCTCTTGGTACCAGTACCAGGTAGTGGAATGGCGATATGCATGCAGCAAACTGGCAGCATTCCGGGTAGGGATAATTGAGAAGATTGGAAGACATTCAGGCGTGGACCTGAACAACGTTTTATGCTACCGTTGTTATGTGGTTCAACATTGAATGAATGAAGGTTCAACCATTCCTCAAATGGCCGCACCCCCATGGAAACCAAATGTGGTGCGAATTATAGTTATCGACGAATGATAAAACCTGATACCGGTAGCGTCGATCCACTATTAATATCTACCGTAGTAGCACGACGCTGTTTGCTTTGTCGCCTATCGATCGAATGTCAGGTAGGAATACTTGCCATAACGGTCGACGGCGGCTTTGGACAACGTTGTCATTGCTATCAGGTGTGACACTTCCCACAATGCAGGGACGCAGAACATGAACATGCCAATCGCTTCTCTAGTTCCGCAAAGGTTCCTCTACAGGCTGCTAATCTCCACGGCGCAGGAGACGAACATACCAATCATTGTCTGTAACCAAGAACATCATACGGTAGAACAAGATGGCAAGAGAGCTCCACACTGTCCGATGAGCTCCTGAACTATTACAGTTGCTGTGTTGGAGACGTGTGCATCTGGGTTTCCGCAGAGGCACTTGCATCTATCTCTACGTCTTGCTGTTGCTTCCTACTTGTGCGTAAAGTTGGGTTCTCTCTTTTCCAAAAAGGCTTCCATTCCCTCCTTTTGGTCTGCCGTGGCAAAGAGGGCATGGAACATTCGTCGTTCGAATCTCAATCCTTCTTCCAGAGAAACTTCTTGTGACACATTGATGGCTTCCTTGCACATCATGACGCTGATGCGTCCCTTGGAGGCAATTTTGGTTCCCATCTTGACGGCTTCATCGACCAAGTCATCGGGAGGAAAGATTTTGGCCACCAATCCAGCTCGTTCCATGTCTTCGGCACCCATCATATCACCGGTCAGACACATGTACATGGCCTTGGATTTGCCAATGGCTCGAATCAAGCGTTGGGTGCCTCCTCCACTGTTTCAAACAAATAAGGTCGATCGTCGTAGATTGGGGTTTGAACATGAGTTCCTTCCATGTTAGCTGCATTGTACTGTGCATACACACTGGTTTGACTCTTCTGCAATATCGTCAGCCAAATGGAATCATCACTTACCCTGGGATGACACCTAGATTGATCTCGGGTTGACCAAATCTTGCCTTTTCTCCGGCAATCACTGTAAAATAAATAGACATGTTATGTTAGGATATACAATGCCAAAAAGTTTGCCAGAACATGTTTTTGCAAGATCGCACCAATATCACACATCATGGCCACCTCGCATCCTCCTCCTAGACAAAATCCATTGACGGCCGCAATCACTGGTTTGGACAACTTGGTGAATTGTCCCCACCAGGCAAACATGTTCTACGACATACAAAAACAACACACACAAAGAAAAAGTTGTGAGCATGACATGAAAGCATATATCATAGTATGTTCCATTTTATTGATTCGGATAACATAACATTGATCGTAAAGTGGATCGTCACACACGCACCGTCTTGTAAGCATGATCAAATGTTCGGTCCTTCATTTCGGAGATATCCGCTCCCGCCGCAAAGGCTTTGGTGCTACCCGTCAAGACAAGGCATCCAATGTCGTCATCGCTGTCCAAAGCTTGTCCAGCCTTGATATAAAATAAAAACAAGACAAAGAGAGAAAGGTCAACATTTTGTTGTTTACTTGGCAAAAATAAATACACAACTAATCAAGTAATAATCACTCACATGAACCAAATCCTTGAACAAGTCATCACAGAGGGCATTGAGAGCTTTGGGCCGATTCAATCGGATCAACCCAACTCCTCCTTCCGTCATTTCCACTTCGATGTATTCGTACTTGTCCTTTAACGTATGCTGCCAACGAGACATCCCCATTGTTGTCATGGGCGGGATGCGGTGAGTGAGGAGACACTTTGTTTGGATTCCACGCAACGTCGTGCGTACCAAAGATGGTGCTCGGAAACTCATGCTGACTGATTGATGGCGATGATACCGTAATAATTAATGGAAGGACGTGAAAGTAGTAGTTGAGAGAGAGAGAAATGGAAGAACAATCAAATGTATCAGCTAGACAACTCGTAGGGCTTCTCGAGATAGTAGAAGGTGCTGAAAAGAAGTGGGAGACGATGCTCAATTCTCAGCTTGTCACTGTCACGATCGATGCCATGATGCTTCCAAAAAGCGGTGAGAAAGATCCGAGGATCCAAAGGTCGCACAATGGCTTTGGATATCAGGTGTCATGATGCACGAATGAGAGATTCTTAACATCAGGGAGAAATCTTGTTCTCGGCAGCTTTGCTGCACCGCTGCGCTCCCTTCCATGGATCCCCACACAACATTGCCACTCTCCTCCGATCCAAACATCCGCTGCGAGTTGTGTGGCCATTCAAAGCAGACAGTATCAATGACGATGATCCAGTTCTTGGTGTTGTATCCATTTATTTGCGTTAGCACCGTTGCCTTCAGTTGGCAACCACTGCGCCAGCAACCGAAGCGTCATTCTTCTCCATTGTTTCTGTCCCGATTGTCGAGTTTTGACCATGTGGATTGGCAGTCCATTTTGAATGATATTGCCACGGACATTCAGCCCTATCTGGCCAAGGGAAAAGTAGCTTCCTACATTCCTGCCTTGGCAAATGTCGATCCCCACCAATTTGGAATTGCCTTTACCGATATTCGAGGCAATACGTACAAGGCCGGCCCGAGTGCCGATACTCCCTTTTCCATTCAATCCATTTCCAAAGTATTTGCCTTGGTCATGGCATTGGACCTCGAAGGAGAAGCACTCTGGAAAAAAGTCGGACGAGAACCTTCCGGAGGCAGGTTCAACTCCATTGTGCAGTTGGAAAGCGAACAAGGGAGACCTCGAAATCCATTCATCAATGCAGGAGCCATTGCCGTTACCAACAGTATCCAACAACATTATTGTAGTGGTAGCGACAGTAATAATAAGGAAGATGACAAGAAACTCTATACACGACAATACACCCACAAGACCAGTCCGGACGAGTACAATTCCATTGCCATTAACAAAATACTGGACTTTCTAAAGACGTGTGCGCAAACTGATCAGGACATTCGAATCGACCCCGAGGTGGCGCGCAGCGAAGCCCTGTTTGGAGACCGGAATCGGGCACTGGCCTACTTTATGAGATCCTATGGGGTCGTACAGGGAGATATCGGACAAACGCTACACACATACTTTCATCAGTGTGCCTTGGAAATGAGTGTCACCACGCTCTCAAAGGCAGGACTCTTTTTGGCAGCAGCAGGGCAGAATCCACTCGCAGAGGATGATGGTGCCATGTTGGTCACTTCACATGACCATGTCGACCGCGTCAACTCACTCATGATGTTGTGTGGACATTATGACATGTCAGGTACGCAAAACGAATTTGAAAGCAAGCAAGCAAACAAAACAGACAACAAACAGACAAGTCACTATTGCTCTTTGTTCATTTGCTCATTGTCTGCACACGCCCAATCAATCAATCAATCAATCAACCAATCCACCCATTCCTTCTATTATTGATTTTTGCAGGTGACTTTGCCTTTCGGGTTGGCCTCGCGGGGAAATCTGGTGTGGGAGGGTAAGGAAGATGCCTTGGCTTGGCTTTCTGAAATAAATATCCGTCTTGCGCCTCACAAAAGTCACTCTCTCCTGCACCATTGCTGCTAGAGGGATCTTGGCGGTGGTACCAGATGTAGGAACATTGGCAGTCTGGTCTCCTCGACTCAACAAAGCTGGCAACTCGTACGCTGGAACCTTGGCTCTGGAATGGTTCTCAGGGCGTACAGGCGTCAATCTATTCTAAGTCTATTTTGGCTGGTGAACGATGTTGGGATCTTTCTGCTGTTGCAAAATCCTCGTCCATCGATAGACACCACAGCGATACTACAGCCTATAATAAACCCAAGCTGGCCAACATGCAAGTATCATAGGAAGCTTGCTTGCTTGAGCTTAGGGAGATGAAGGGAGATGAAGCATAGAAGTAGATTGAAGTAATATTGTGATATGTGTGTGGTGCACCAAAAGCATTGAAGCACAGACCACCGCCACTTCTCCCACTCCAAACTGGGAAAGCCGTTCTTGGAATCCTCATTGCCAGACAGCAAGCCTGAAGGGTGTCTGCGGGCCTGAGCAGCAGTAACTACCGACTCAAATGTCAGAGCTAGAAGTTGAAATATTGGACCGGAAAAGTCGACTGGAATCACTGGACATTTTGAAAGAACAGAGGAAGCTCTGTTAAATAATTAGTCGCGTGAAGGGTCATGGAGCATTCTCTCAGACACAGAAAGTCATTGAGAAGAATGACCACTGCCAAAGCAGCAAACAAGAAGCAAGAAGCAACGCAGGCAAACAGGCAAACAAGTGTCACCTCACTCGGAATATGGAATTCATCCTACAGTCGTACCGCCTGCCTGTAACTGCACACTGCAGACGGAAAGGCACTGCGAAAGCGCTTTTTGTAGACCACCATGAATTGTGAAGCAGGCTCCTTTTGTCCTCGGCGCACACAAATACGGTAGGTACCGTCGTACCGTACCGCACCGTACCGCATAAGAAAATGGAAAGGCAGGGTAGCCAGATACCGGTACTGTAGCATACCTTGCTTGTCCATAGCAAAATGAACATTCAAACTTCGCACTTCTTGAATGTTATTTCGAACGAATCGTCAGCAATTGGCTGTAGCTAGATTTCTGCCTGGTTGAAACGTAAGGAGCTTCAGGATCGACCACCAAGGAAACATTCAAACATTCTAAAGCTCACTCCTAAAACGGGTATTAGTAGCTGGAATGGCACCCCATCATGCCCATCATCACTCGAGCTGATGCCCTCCACAACCACCACCAAGTAACTGGCCAAGCCCGCCACCCTGCCACTCAGACGAACTGGCTGGGCTGGATGCCTTTGAGAGGTCAATAGCCTTTACTGGAGTTAATGTTTGGGTCCCCGATCCTTCTGGATAGCTACCATGTTCCCCACTGGATGCTTTACTGGCCGCACTGGCAAAGGTATACCGGCAACCAGCAACTGAGATGACCGCGCGGGAGTGCATCATCGGACGAACTGGTTCTGTACTGGTCCTGATTTGGCCAACCGGTTCCTTGCAATTATTGACCTGTTCAAAAAGGCGGCCCACAACGCACAGCTACGCACTAACCAGCCAACAGACATGGGGCATATCAGAATAAGGCAATTGCAGTCATAATGAAGTCTTGTGCCAGTAACAAGGTTCGTCGAATGTCACCATCAAGCTATCATCAGCTGTTCTCTCACCTGCTGTTGCTGGCGATCTGGGATCGCATTCCATGATTGCCAGTGAAAACGCACGATACGGCGTGGCAGGCTGGGACAGAATAGAGGTGATGGACTAAACACTGCATGAGAAGTGTGCAGAAAACAGCGCGTTTGCCAGTGAAACCTGTCATGTCAGTGCAAGAGAAAGTACGAGCAAGAGGCTGGTGGTGAGTCTTGAACTGTTCGGAGGGGACGATTTCGGGAGCATTTGTCAATCCTGTAATCAAGTCGTGAATAACAGTGACTCCGAGCATTGTGGTGGCGCTTCCATTTTGTGACCGTTGCTCCAGAACTCGACATTTGCGTTGAATTCTGTCAGGCAACACACACGCTGTGTGAAGATTAACGCAGAAACTCAAGGAACCCACGATAGTCAGAGCAGGCTGGCGTCGACTCTCGATGGGAAAAGCGCTTCACGGCTTTCGTCATAAAATTTCCCGAACAAGACTTCAAACACTTTTTCCACCAAAGCCATCCTTACGAAACAAACGACCATGAGCAATCAATCTCAAACCACCTCTGAAACTCCCGCTGAGAACATCCTCTGCAAGATGGGCTGTGGCTTCTTTGTAAGTAGACTCTTCGGACGAAATTAGCGCTGGTTCTCTTGGGCAGTTGTGGCATTGTGACAGCCGAGGCAAGACACGGAACGACACGGAACAACAAACAACTAGCGCAGGACAACAAGCAGCAGCAGCAGCAGCATCAACAGACAATCAACATTACCATGAGCGATAGCCTATACTGTGCAATTCACCATGGTGTTGATGGACGATGTCTGTGCGGACACTGCCGATCGCGCGTCAACGTTCGTTGCTGTTGGGAGTCCTACGTAGAGTTAGTACTGGTTTTACCGTACTTTCAACGTCTGTGTCTCGGGTTCCTTTCTCTCGAAAAATTCTGCCGTGTGGCTGCGCGGTGTCACGCTGCCGCACAACAACAAGAGATCAACCACCCAGCAACCAACCAACACCTTGCTAACTCCTTCCTCTCTCCTCTACTCTACTACAACAGGGCAATAACGCTACTGGAGACTGCTGTTCAAAATGTTGGCGAAGCTTGCAAAAGAACAAGGATGGCAACCTTGCCGCTCCTGTCTGTGCTCCGGTCGCCGCTCCCCAACCAATCGCCCCCATTCCGGAGGAGGAAGAACCCACTCCAATGGACGTTGACATTTGTCCGCCCGCAGTTGAAGCACCCGCGGAGGTCAAGCCAGCTCCCGCCGCCACAACACCCAAGAAGAAAAAGAAGAAGGCTAGCTACAAGAACATGATGAAGGGGATGATGATGAGCAATTCACCACAGAAGGACATTGAACAAGAGAAGGAGTCGTTGCGAAAAGTTACAGGTGGAGGAACTTTCTCCAAGATTGAAAAGATCTGAAGAACGCGACCGTTTGACAGTTCTAATGTAGAAGGTGGCCATGTGGACTGGAAAGACGACGACGACACTCGCTTCTTTGCGATTTCTTCTTCTTCACGCATCGGGCGAAGATTAAATACAGCCGCCATGAGGGATCCTCCTGTTCCTGTTCACCGTAAATTTCTGAAATCATAGCAAATTCTATCTCCTTGTACAGCGTCTTCTTGGTCATTATTTAGCTTGGGGATGGTCCCAGTAAAATGCAGGTCGGCGGATAGCGTCGCAGGCTCTTGAGCGAAGCAATGGCTACACCACCGAAGCGCTTATCCTCGCAGCGTCCTCTGCTACATGTACTAGTGCTCTGGAAAGTACTAGTATCGGATCACTTTCTTGGGCATCTCATGCCTACGGTATGGTACAGCATCGCTTGGTGGGCTGTTTTTGATACCTTGTGGCTCCTTGTCTTTGTCTTTTTGCCAGGAGTAGGGCTGCCGAAGGCTTATTGGTTGTGTTCAGGCTCACTGCCACTCATGGCCAAAAGCGTAGCTGGTGGGTGGCTGCTTCTACCACTTGTGGCTCCTTGCTGTCTATTTTTTTGTACTTGGGCATGGCTACCGTACTTGCTTGCTTGGGCCATTGGCTGGATTGTCAGACTCTTGCCAAAGGTTGTCTTTTTATCATTATGGCTACCAGGTACCGGTACGGTACAAGATTGTTCGGTGGGTTGTCCTGTTGGGGCCGCTTCGTTCCTACCGGACTATAATAAGACAAGCGAACAGTAGGCAATCGCTACCAGGGTGGCTCTGCAGTGGCGTGGCTCAAATCAATGCGTACCTTTCATCAAAATAATTCTACTTTGCTTCTTACTTATTAATCTATCCATGCAACCGCTATAATGGCAAAAATTGGGCCTGTAATCCTCGCTGCTACTGAGATGCCAGTAGAAGGGGATGTTCAAAATTCCTTCCTGCTTCCCATAGTTGATCCACATCTTCCCGCGACAATCCGGGATGCAAGGTGAGCATCAAAGTGCGGAAGGTACCGGGCACCAACAAATCATATTCACAAGTTGGATGGAGCACACGTGAAAAAGCCCCATCCAGATAAAACTCATTCTCCTCCGCGTTGCTGCAGGTGTCGTTTGTGCTTGCCCGGAATACTCCTTGTCCAGTGATAAAGGGAATCCAGGTAGTCTGCTTGAGAGCACTGATGAGCTCGTCACGGCTCGTTGGTTGCACAATTTCGACTCCGTTTCCTCTGGATGTGACAAGAATCTTGAGGTTGGGCAGGAAGCTCTCTATTATTTGGTTTCCTTCATCGCTGTCTTCCCCCAGCACGTCCAGCAAAAACTGATCAATAATATCAAAACGAGTAATGTTTCCAACCATCCACAACTGTTGAACGTCAGTCGCCATGGTTGTGGCCTCCCCCACTGATATATTCATGGCCGCCATCACAACACCTAAAAGGACGCAAAGAAGAAAAAGAGACTATATGAGTACAGAGCTTCAATGTACGCCTGCCGTATACGATGGTCCAATCCTCTGCCGAACGACGCCAACAGCCAAGACGAGAACTCACTCAGACAACCGGATGAGTAGCAATAATAGTCGAACTTGTGAAGATCCTGGATAGAGCTGAGTGCTCCAAGATGAAACCAAAACCCACTGAATCCACTGCCTGGGCCACCAAAGAGACAAGGAAAAAGAAAGGTTAGGGTTGTTTCGGCTCTTCCGTATGCACCGGCTTCTCTTCCATCATTCCTCACGCACCTGGAACATACACGCTGGAAGGCCCAGCAGGCGGAACCGCATCATAAAAGAACTGGATCGGAGGATAGGACACCAAGTAGTAGAGCACCACAAGATTCGCCAAGGACAACAGGAGAAAGACAGCTCCACTTGCGGCAATCTTGAACAGAGATGTCATTGTTTCTCTCGTACTCCAGTCGATGGTTCCAATGAAATGTTCTTCTTCCTTGTTTGTGATGGCTGATTGAGGGCCGGCAAAAACAATGGGATGACTGTCGTTGGGTGCTTCCTGGGGTGTCTTTGTGTCTTTGGCAGCTGCCCGGTGCCGTGTGTTCGGCAGCAGCTGCAGCGGAACGAAGTTGAAAAAGGATTCCGATCAAAGATTTATGAAGACACAATGACTGAGTTCTTCAAGACTAAGCGATTTATTGCACCTAAATCTTATAGAGCTCAAACCCTATCATTGAGTCGGTTCCTCAAATCAAGGATAGGTCTACCGTACAAGCGCACTTTTCGAACCACTGGCCTGTACCGGTACCGGTGCCGGTATCCATTCCAGTGTTTCTGCAGCCACCAATGCAAGTCTCTATCTATGAGTGCTGCCACTTTAGTATGTATGTTGTCTCTGCCGAAGGCCTCCTTGGCTCTGAAGCTCAAGCACTAGCCAAACGTCTCTCCTCTGTTCTGGCCACCAAGTGGTCCCGCCCCTACTCTGTGTGCATGGCTAAGTCAGTACCCGGCTCAGCCTGGCAATTGTTCGGGCCCATCACCTCCGCTGGATGGTCCCTGTTTCCCGGCTGGATTTCTGATTATCCTGCCGAAAAGATAACTGAACATGCATTCTAGCTAGTGCTCCGCAAGGCGCTCACAACTACATGAAGGCCGTTTCCCAAACTATCCAACTTCACCGCAGGCACTTCCGTATAGTATTGTCCCAACTCATACAGACGAAGTGAACGCAGCTGTGGAGGATGGAAGTTTCTACTGACCCGACTATTGCTGAGCCTCTTGAGGACAAAGGATTCTCCAACAAAAGGTAGTTAATATTAACAAGTATCTAGTTCAGTTACTACAACAAGAGCACGGTTGCTTGCTGGCCAAAGAGTGCAGGAAGTGGAAGGCGAGAATGGTTGAAAGTTTTTGTAACGTACAGAGGGGACGCTTTGGCGGTCTTTGATCCCGAAGACCACGCCGGTCTATAAGTATGCACCAAAGGTGCGCTTCTGAGATTGTGAACTGATTGTTCCGGAGCTGTGACTAGGAGGAACTTCCAAGTCTCGGATTCTGTTGTTGTTTGCACAAAACTTGCACATGACGGGTTTGGTCCGATGCGGACTGTCGTTTTGGTTGCTGCTTTCCGGTAGCACTAGGGAGTTGTTGGATTTTGGAGAAGTGCACGTGCAAGTCAGTGGCCTGTAGGACGGGGACGATTGATGCTGCTGTTGATGATGATATTGTGATAGCCTGGAAGCACTGGGCGTAATCACAACTCGTCGACCATCCATGTCTTTCCAGTCATGGCCATATCCCACGGCAAGAGCCAAGGGCCTCTGTCGTCGCTTCTTGCCGTGGCTGCCCGCCCCAGAAGAAGCCCCGGAAGGGCTCCTGCAGATATCACCATACTCCTCGCTCCCATGAGTCTCCACTACCGGTACCGGTACATCCGGATGAGGCTTGCTATATTCTGGAGTCGTATAGTAGTGCCGTCCTGCGGGGCAACTAGGAGGCAGATAATCCCCATCCGAACAAAACGGGGTCTAGAAAAAAGAAATGAAGGTAAGAGTCAGGTTTCCAACCCAAGAATACAGGAAAACTGCAACCCAAACTGCAGCCACAAACCTGGCAGTACCCATCGAGGAACGGGTTCAGGAGAAGTTCTGTCAGCGCAGAAAACATTGACACATCACTAACATGCTCATTCTGTTGCTTGTTGTGGTGGTTGTCGAACTTTTCTTCATCTCGCGAATCTCCTTCTTGATCACGGGAATGATCCCCAACGTCATCTCGCAGAGGCTCGGCCGCCCCTTCGGTTGGAGCCACCTGGGATGAACCAAACTCCCAGAACATGTTGTTTGATAAAGTGGTATGCGATGTTGCAAAAATGTGTGGTATCGGGTCGTACTTGTATCGCAGTCTCTCGGATACCCCCAAGTGGCAGGATGTTCCGCGGAAAGAAAACCTCACAAATCTGCCTCAGTCAAAGCCTGACAAGAGACGCCCAAGTAGACTATTGTCTCGGCTAGCTGGCTAGATAGGCAAATAGCCGACCGTAGTGGATCAAACTTCTTCTTGCTTTGTTATGAGATGTGAAAGGGTGGGTTGCGCTCAATATTGTTCCCTCCCAATGGCCTTTCGCTCCTGCTGATGTTTTGTCTTGTGTACCTTTTCGGCTTGCGGAAGGCACCTCTTTGGACGATAGTGGGGAAAGGGCTGAATGGATCCCGCCAAGAACCAGACGGCAACAGCCCACTTTCTTGGTCAAATTATTCGTCGCACGACAAATCATGTGAGCAACAACGGCAAAAAAGCCAACGCTCAAAAATTGAAGACCGTTAGACCACGTGCTACACAAAAATTGCCGATTTAGCTATCGCATGGGTGAACGCGAGAACGAGAAATCATTGGGGTCTGGCTCTCGCTGGCTTCCGTAGATAATCCCCCCCCCGTGAAATCATTGGGGTCAACACGGTCGGAGTTGCAAAGAGTGTTCTAAAGTATTTGTACCTTGAGTATTGGTTTTGGATTCCATTCCATTCAGCTGGAGCATGCACCATCCTACATGTACCATCCTACCAGAGTCTTGACACTGTCTTTGTCAAAAATGTGCTGCGAATTCCAATATGGATGGATGTGTTGTCTATCGGGCATCAATTCTCATTTGTGCAGGTTGCTTCATCCGTCTTTGGCGCCTCTAGAGTAGTAGCAGGTCTTGAACCATGCTCGTCATGGGCACGTCTTGAAAGTGGGACGATTCAAAGGCAGCCTTGTTGGATTCTATCTTGTCCAACTGGTAGCGGTAATTCACCATGACGCCAAAGCTTCGTAAGAGGCCCTTGGACGAAATATCGGCTGCATAGTTGATGCGGAAAACCTCTGCACCATTGTGAACATGAAAGCCAGTGACTGGATCCAACGGTTTGCCCGAACGCACATTTTTGGCCACTACCAAGTAGTGAGCCGCCAGGTGCATCAGTGTAGGTTGCAGCGATTCTAGCTGCTCTTGGATTGATTCCGCACCACTGCCACCACTTTTGGTATCCATCAAGAGCTGCTCCAATAATGGACGCTTGGATATTATATCTTCCACAGTAGTGCTAGGAAGATCCCAATGATCCGATAGTCGCTTGGACATTTGCTGGTCGTCTTCGTTTGTCTCCAATACTGATGATGCCACCAAATCCTCCACCCATTTCCGAAACCCTGGCATGGGCGAGAGGGTGACGAATGTCCCTATGCTTCCCGAATGAAACTCTTGTTTCAGTTGTTGCACCGCTTGTTTGATAAGGAACTCCCCGAGGCCTAGACCCCTGGTCAGGCCCTGTTGTGTATTGGATATGGAGTAAAACGTAGCGACTGTTGGTTGTGAGTCCAATTCCGTCCTGTCGTCATCTTCTTGCAACACATGTTGCATGGTAGAGGGAATATGACTTTTTGCATCATCGTTCTGCTTGGTTTCCAAATGCACATGCAAAATGACGAGAGGTTCATTTGGAAGGAGTGGATGAAAGAGACCAAAGACCCGTCGTCTTGGTCCCAATCGACGCCGTAAATCGTCCAAGGATTTCATGGGATGAACCTTTTCCTTGATGGCAATCTTTTCAATGAGGCCTGCCGAGGTTGTCTCATAGGTGAAGCGACGAACCTGTAGCATTCCTGGACTAAACCAAGCGGACAAGAGTCTTCTCAAATGATTCTCCAGTTGCATCAGAGACTGTTTGAGTGATTGTTGACTTTGTTGTTTTGGTAACACCGACAAGAGTTGCAATAAATCCCCTCGTAGCGCCACCAGCATGGCGAGTGTCTCTTGTGAATTATTCTCTATTAGAATTTGGAAGATTTCTTCAAATTTGGGAGTCCAGAGTAGCTTTAGTTGTTGCAGCAGTAGAGCAGCAGTAGTAGTAGAGTTGTTGTCGTCTTGTTGATTATGACGATTTTGCAACTGTTCCACAACAGTCGAAATGGAAGCTGTGCTGCTGGGGGGCCCGCAGTCTTGAGCCAGAAACAGGAGTGCGGCGCTGCGCGGACACTCCCAAGTCGGAATGTCGTCTTGTGGAGACGCCAAGGCCGTTGCATTCCATCCCAGTTTGAGGGGAGGCAGTTGAACATACCCAGTGCAAAAGAGGCTTGCATATTCTTCTATGGAACGCACGGGTGTGCTGTTGTCATCGGTAGTTTGTAATACGGACGATGCTGGGCTGGCAATTAGGGAGGTAGCAGATGATGACAAAGGCTCACGCTCGGATAGATTGGGCTCCCATTCTTCTAGTCGAAATGCCAAATTCTGCAACGCCGATAACACCTCTGGGCCAGCAGCTGAGTTGGTGTTGCTGGTAGATTTTGTCGAAAAGGATTGTACGCCTCGGAAAATCCGTCGTTTGGCAGGTGAAAACAAAAGGGAATTCTTGGGATAGTTGGAAGCAGCATACGCTGTCCTTGACCTTGACGAGAATGGGAGAAAGTAGATTGCTGCTTGAGATAGCCTGCGACGAGATATATTCGACATCATGGTTATTTGTGCATACGGCGGGCAATGTGGAGGATCCAGGCCAAAAGGATCAAAGGAATGGCGTTCTCAAAGCTCGATCCGAGCGAGTTGAAGGATCTTGCAAAGGAGATTTTAATTAATGGATTAATTAGTTATTAGGTTAAGGCTTATGTTCGATGTGTCAATCGAATAAATCGAACGAATGAACCATCTATCTGTGACTGGAATGACTGAATGCACTGCCAAATCATTCAATCTGTGACTGACGGGTCCGCGAACTGAGGTTCATGGTTCATCAGCAGTGGCTGTCTTTGAAGTGAGGGAGGGTTTTAGAGAGTAAGGGAGTTATCAATGGAAGCTGGCACCAGGCTTTGGCAACGAAGAGGTGAAATTTGGCACTAGGTTCCGTGGGATCAGGGGCACAAATTGAGGTCTGAAAGGGGCCAAAGGGCTTGGCTTTCTTGATCCGGTGACATCGGTGAGTTGTTTTAACAAGGGCATTTGAGAGTTGGGTCTGGAAGAAGAATGTCATTTGGGAGTAGGAGTATTGAGTTTTGTTTGTGTTGACAGTGGCAAGGCGTTACAAAAGAATTTTGGCTTGGGGATGGAAGCTGGCACCATGAAATTCGCACAGGCTGTCTGTTAAGTTCAAGGGAGGAGGCTTCAAAGAGTTCGAACAGCGCACATCTATCTGTGTCCCGTGCTTGTTACGACGGCTGACGTAGCTTGTACACCTACATTGTGTAGAGCAACGCCCCAATACTGCTCAATTGTAGGATGTAGCTTGGTCTGCCTAGCTAGAAAGTTCAATCATGCGTCCAGGCGAGCAGTTGGCCACGATAAGTTAGTCATTACATTATGAGGCGGCTGCTCCTTCAAGTCGAAAGAGCGACTTGAGGCTGCCTGACCTCTTGACTTCTCTCCGAGGTGCATCCGACTTCTTCTTCACCAGAGCCTTCTTATCTGCTCTGGGTGCGGATGTGTACACGAAGTGCTCACCGGCGTACTCGCTCCAGCCATCGTTTTTCACCTTGTCGTGAAACTCAACCTTGATCTTCCGAGCGACTGTCAACATTTCATCGATATGAGCTTTCTCCTTCCCGGGCATGAACGGCATTAAAGCTTTTGGCAAACCGTTCTTGCTTGATGCAAAGTCTGACATGTAAGTTTGAAAGTACGGTGCCACGGTCAGCGTATTTGTCGATATCTCCATCCAGACGAACTCAACATTCTTGCAATAGATGCGTGCCACGTGCTCGAGTTCCAAGTCCACTTGCGCGCCAGAATAAACGAACATCGGACGCATGAAATGGGTCATGCCGGCCGCAAAGTGGATGCGCGGATCAACTCGATCGGCTAGGTTTAGAAACATGCGTGAGTCCTTCCCTTGAAAGGGCTTGGGTCCATAAGGTCCTTTCCGATTGCCTCGGCAGATGCCATTCCACCAATCAGAGAAGGTGTATAGACTCCCACCAACATTGAATTTGAGACTGGTCCAAAAAGATGTGAACCCTGAGCTTGATCCTGGGATGCCAACTTTGATGAATGCATAGTGCAAGAAAAGCTGATAGACATTCAAACCAAATGCAACAAGGCTCTTCTTGTCCAATCGTGCCAACTTGACCATCTGGAGTTCACAAATTGCAAAATCCAGCTCTGCAACGAGGCACTCATGGTGCTTTGCCGCGCGCGAGTAGTGGACTCTTCCCTTCACTGAATCAGTGATGGCTGCCAGGAGAGGCAGCAATTTTGCCATGACAGCCAGCATAACTTCTTCTCCGTGTTTTGTGAGTGTGGTTTCATCCCGCCAGACGCAGAAAGAGTTCAATATTTCTGGTGTTTGATGGCATTGCAAGCGAAAAAAAAGTTTGGCGGTGTCATCGAACCCATGGTCGTTACACACTAAAGGGGCCGCAAAACAGAGAATGGCAGCAGAAGAGGAATGTTAGCAATGCGGAGAGCTGTGGTATGCTGGTATCTGATTGCCGTTACAAACAATTCCCGTACCGTGATGAAGTAGCTTGGCCTGATGCAGCGATTTCCCCAGAATCCGAGCCTCTTCCTTGGAAAGCCCATATGCTTCCTGAAGTGTAGCTGCTGCTGTGCTTCCGGTAAAGCTCTCTCTGTAGGTTGTTAGGTTGTACTTTAAGGAATCTCGTGGAAAAATTCTTTGCAGCTCCCGGGTGGCTTCCAGAACTGATTTGAGGCAACCCAAGGGCAACTCCACCATTCTCTTGTCGTCCTTGATGGGCGGTCCTGTGGAGCTGGACCACATGGAACTGGAACTATCATCGCATCCTTTGGCGCTCATCATATTCATGAGACTTCGATTGGACAAGGTACGGGCTGACTTTCGCTGCAACGCCTGCGTGCGTGCCTTGGATCGCCCCGTCGGAACCGGTGAAACGGAGCGCCGTGGCGCCGTACTGGGTGGATTGCTGAGATGGCTACTGGCACTACTGTTGGAGAGATTCATCGATCGACTACGCGTGTCGTGAGCAATGCTGCTGCTGTCCGTCGAGTCAAAGGAAGATTTGGGCCCCAAATAGCGCATGGATGTCGCGCGACCGTACATTCGGGCGTTGATGCTCTTGCTGCTTGAGTTTCGAAACGATCGATTCAACGCAGGACTACTCGCACCCAGAGAAAACACCGAGGTGGGTTTTGGTTTGGCGGCACCGCCTGCAGTTGCTGCGTCACCATGTTCCGATGCTTCTTCATGATACGCCAAATCTTCGGTCGAGATGGACGCATTTGAACTGTTGAAATTTCCAGCACTGCTTCCATGCATGCTGGATCGGATACTCGATCGTGAAATGTTGAGGTCGCGGATACTCGATCGTGACATGCTAAGGTCCCGAATACTGCTGGACGCGTTGAGGTCCTGCTTGGATCGATGTTGTCGTGCCCTTCCCATGATGGGTGTCCGTTCGCTCTCATCCTCATCCTCCTCTTCTAGATCCAACAGTAAGCTCTTGTTGGACAAACTTCTGGCGGACAGCATTGACTTTTGCGAATTTTGAAATTTGCTGTTGGTAGACTCGTGGAAAGATTCTGCGTTGGAATCTTGTTGATGATGATGATGATTGTGCAGCTCATTGTAAATGTCATCTTCGTCTTCGGCAAAGGTAGGATCCAGATCGCCATCGGCGTCGTAGTCTTGCTGCTTGCTATGGACACTGGCAGTCCCATCCTGTGAATGTGTCGAGTCTCGAAAGGAATGCATTGGGAGTTCCTGCTGCTGATTATAGTGTTGCTTTTGCAATTCTCTCCCATGAAACGAGTGTCTTTCATATTTATTATGACTGCGAAATTGCTCGCGGCGATTGTCATTGGCCTGCAGTTGTTGCTGTTGTGGTTTCCCTCCCGAGTTTCGTCGAACAAAGGGTTGATCGTCATCCTTATATCGATCTTGTTGTTTTTGTTGCTCTCGAAGTAAGAGTTCCTTCCCATGGAACGAGTGTCGTTGATAGGAGGTTTTTTGTTGAAAGGCTCGTCGTCTGGAGTTTCGCAGCATGGCACTGCCGTGATTACTGATATTGTTTGCGGTACTGTGATTACTGATGTTACTTGCGGTACTGTGATTGCTGGTGTCGGAGCCTCTGAGAAAATTGTCGGGACGGTTGGCCCGAGTAACATCACCAAGATACCCATACCCCCCATTGTCTTCTTCTTCGTCGTCTTCTGGTGGGTATTGTTGGTTTCTGTTGCTGTTGTTGTCGTAGTCCGGATTCCCGTCATAATGACCATCTGGCTGTTGCTGCTGAGGATGAAACATCATTTCTTGTTCGACTTCTCGTCTCAATTCTCTGCCATGAAAGGAATGGCGTTGATAGACATCTCTTTTCTGAAAGGCGTCTCTTCTGTCATTTTTATTATGAGTGCTGCTATGATGACTGCTGGATGGCTGTGGTTGCCTCCGGTTGTCCCTCCTATGCAGTCTTTTATGAAACTCATCCTCGTTGGGTTCTTGTTCTTCTTGTCGACGACTACTACGAGAACTCCTTGGAGCATCATGATGACTGCTGTGGGATTGTGGCGGTGGCGGATCATAACTGTTGTGATTGGGTTGACGGTACGGATCCGTGTGACGCGGGAAGTCTTGGTTATCATTGTGGTCATGATGATCGTGTTGTTGGTGGGGGTATGGCTGTTGTTGTGGAGGATGATTGTCGTAGTATCGGTTCCGAGGGTCATGGTGTCGAAACGACGACCGTATCGGCTGCAGTTGGGGAATTCCGTCGGGCCCTTCAACTACTTCCCACTTTTGCAGAATGGTCAGCAACTCATTGATGCCACCGGGAACGGGATGGTTGTCAAAGAAAATTTCGGGAACCGTTTGTCGTTCGGAGGGATCCAACACAATCTCTTGAAAGGGCAAGTGACATTCCTTCAAATCCAATCGAACCGCCACACAGTGAGGATCATCTTCCTTGGTAAAGATGGTTATTTGGCCCATGCTTATTATTTTTAAAATTTGACAAGTCTCTTTTGCTGCTGCTGTTACGAGTCGTCTTCGTCTATGGTATCATACTTCTACAGCAACTCTTCCGCTGGTTGTCACTTCCCATTTTGCCTTGCTTTTGGAGGCTGACGGTTCCGGTAGTATGCCCAATCAGCTGTCGCTTGGGAGGAGGTGGTTTTCGAGTGGAATTTGGAGAATAATGGACCTGGATTCGGGACTGGACGCGGTGTGCACATGTTGTGGGGAAGTGGGGGGTATCAGACAATGAAAAATGACATAAAGAAGAGTTCACTGGAGAAGAACTCCAGTCATGTCTGTAGAAGTACTTAGAACCAAAATGGCTTCTGTTGACAAGAATGACCGTTGAAAATCGACCTAGTCTATTCGGATCGATTCGATGGTTGAGGACTCACCCGAATGTTCAATCGATGAAGAAACCAAAAAGTGAGCCCCTCCCAAATTCAAAACCTCATTTTCAAACCACACCTCCACCAACCTCCTCCTCCACTCTCACTCACTCAATCAACCAACCAACCAACCAACCAACAGCACAGCAACACCAACCACAGTGCCATACATACAGAGGTCTGGATCGACTGACTCTGCTGTGCTTCCAGATTGAGAGAGCCCCATCAGTTCCACAAAAAAGTTACATTATCGACTTGCTAGTGGTGCTCTTGTGTCATTGGTACCGTACTTGCAGTATTGCACCACCATAGCATGAGGCGGTCCAGTTCCAACAGCGATGAGGAAGAGGAGGACGTGATCCGGCCATTGCCGCTCCCAAGAAAGAGAAAGAAACGACAGAGAGGGATGCATGTCATGTCACGACATCAAAAGGAGCTACTCATTCGACTCATATTCGCCTTTGTGACGCTCTATGGGTTTTTGGCCACAGGATTGCTGCTCCGACTTCCTACGGGTGAATGGGATGGGGAAGATATGGCACTGCTGTTGGATGAGGAACAACAACAACAACAGCCACCACCCGACAATCCACGCTTACGGACAAGACTCGTACAGCACCAGCCACAAGAAAGAGTCCCCGCTTCGACTAGCAGCAGCAGTAGGAGCAGTACTAGTAGGGACAAGGATCCGCACGACGACAACCCACACCAACAGCCTCCATTGCCAAAACAAGACGAAAATCAAAACACGTTCCCAGTGACCATTTCCAAAACGGATACTGGCAATGATTTGGAAGAGATTGACCATCCAGTGTTGGCCTACGGAGGAATCTTGCCTGATGACTTGGCACAGACCATGGTAGTCCCCAAGTTCTGGAACCCCTCACGTTATGGAGGCAATGTTCGAGAGTACTTGGGAAATCATGGAAAACAGTTGCCCTCCAAAGAGACTGCCTTGTCCATTGGTTCCAAGATTCCACTCCCAACCAAGGATGGGGAACAGCAGCAGTTGGATACCATTTTTGTCTCCATTGCCAGCTACCGAGATCCAGAATGCTTGCATACTCTGGAATCCATCTACGCACGTGCGCAATACCCTCAACGGATACGTACCGTCGTAGTGGACCAACGACGTGACGATGACACCTATTCCTGTCTCCCCACGGACTGTGATGACAACAGCACCAACAACCCAAATGCGCTCTGCCAATACCGCCATTTGCTGGAACTCTACGACTTTGATGCTCGCTTGGCGGTCGGTCCTACATTTGCCCGACACGTGGCCTATCGACATTATCGTGGCGAGTACTTTGCCATGCAGATTGATTCTCATGTCCGGTTCGTCCAAGATTTTGATACTGACATTATCCAACAATTGAAATCCGCCAACAATGAAATGGCGGTCCTGTCCACCTACCTGTTGGATCTCAATGGTGCCATTGACCCCGTCACACACGCGAGCAAACGCAACAACTCACGAGCCCTCTTGTGCAATGTCTATTTTGAAAATGGCGTCGTCCACAATGGCCAACAAGCCGCCCGACCCTCCCATATTGTCGGGACACCCACGTTGCATCCATTTTGGGCGGCCGGTTTTAGTTTTGCCCGGGGACATTTTCTGGTGACGGTTCCGTACGATCCCTACTTGCCCATGGTCTTTCAAGGCGAAGAAATCTCCATGGCGGTGCGAGGGTTTACGTACGGGTACGACTTTTACGCCCCCGAACGATCCGTGTGTTTTCACATGTACGCGTTGCACAAGAATCGTGCCAATCGATTGGCGGTACCGCGGTTTACCGAGAATCGGAAACTCTATCGCCATGTTACCGAAGAAGACGTTGCGGTCGCCGCCATGACACGATTGCGGGGAATTATTGGCATGACGACGAACAGTATCGTCGAGAGGGATAATCACAATGCACTGGAACAAGAGAGTTACGGTGTGGGACAAGTGCGAAGCCCCGCGCAGTTTTACAAGACGTTTGGGATTCACGTGGACTCTCAAACAATGGAGAATCACTTGTGTTGGTTTGCCGGTGAAAGTATGCAAAACAAGTTTGTACCGTTTCTGAGAAAGGATGGAATGGGCATTGATTATGACAAACTGAACTATGAATTCAAAGATCCAGCACCGGATCAACCCTAGCTGGTGAATGACATTGACGCAAAAGAACGCGATAGGTTGGTTGGGCCGTGTGTCGTTGCATAGGTACTTGTAGCTAATAAGCAGCCAAATTTCTTCGTGCATACTACCGTATTTTAGTAGCATTACCAATAGTTCCACACTGCCTTTTGCTTTCGGAATTAGTCTATTTGCGCTGCTCGACACATCCTCACCTCAAACAGTTGACGATTTTGTGGTTTGATGCCTCACTTTTTGAAAACCAAATGAAACCGCGACTGGACTCAACGGAGCGCCCCTAACTCTTTTTGTGACGACGCAGTCCTCCCAATGCATCACTCATGCAGCAAAGGCGCCCCAGTTTATCCAACAATAAGCAAGCTTCATCGTGTCAGACTTGTTATTGTTGTTGCTGGTGCTGCTGTTGAGTTTTTAGTTCCGGTGGAAGCGAATCGATCATATTCCCAGCAAAAGAAAGACAAGTACAACAATAAGAGAAGTCCCTGGAAGTTGATTGCTAGTAGAGACAACAACGGAGACGAAGCAACTCATCCATCCGCGAGCAAAGCGATTGCCATCTGGTGAACAATCTGATAACCCATCACTCCGTCGTTCCGCGCTTTGTTGATTCCCACCAGTCACACGACAAGAGCAGCAAACCGATAACAAACTGCATTGCAACCCTTTGACACGTGTCCTACTGGATAGAAAAGTCGGTTACGAAACAACACAATCACAAAAAGAGGAACAAATACCGAACCAATTCAAATCAACACCGTCAACGTCACAACAGAAATCATGGGTCGGAGAGGTTTGCGTCGCAATTACAATCCCGTCTCGTCGACGGCCGAGGAAGCCGATGATGCGGCGGTGATTGCAGTGGAAAGTGAAGGAGGAGGAGAAGAAGACAACAACAACAACAACACAGCGGACAGCAACAATGGCGATGTTGGTGGTGACGTGGAAGCCCCTCGACGACGCAGGGACTATCAGACCGTCGCAGCTGAAGAGGAAGCAGAAGACGAGGAAGAAGAGGGTACCAAGGTGACGATTGTGATTTTGGATCCGGCCCAAAAGAAATTCTTCATTCCGGCGTACACTCATTGGTCCATTTCCAAGTTCAAACGAAAGGGAGCCAAGATTCACAAGGTGGCGCCACCGTCGCAACGATTAATTTATCGAGGACAATTGCTGCAGGACAGTTCGACGCTCGAAGGATGTGGCCTCAGCGCAGACAAGCTCATTGTGCACTTGTTCCCCAAACCACGCGTCGTTATTCAACAACAACAACCGGGTGTTGACGAAGAACAACCACAACCCACAGGGGCTCACATTCCTCAAATCGTCTTGAATCCAGATGAAGCCGAACAACGCGCTCATATTCTCGTTTTGGGAAGTGCCGACTTTTTGGAAGCACAAAACAATGTCAAGCTATTCTCCTTTCTTCTCTTGGTCATTTCGTCCATTGAACTATTCAACCTCCTACTCATTCTCATGGGAGTTCCTCCGGACAACGGCAATGGTAATAATTCTGGACACGACGCTTACAATACTCAAGACGACTTTTTCCATATTGACGTCAACAACACGGCCGATCCCTACAACAGTCGCAATTACAATAACAATATGGAAGCGGATCCCTATCAAGAAGCCGCCATTCAACGCGAATTACAAACCTGGCAACCCCGCAGTAACATTGATCTTATCATTTCCGCTTTTGGGATCTATGTCGCCATGTTGGGCATTCGGGCCACCAACGAAACCACTCTGCGATTGGCACAACAGTATTTGGTAGGAACCGCGATTGTCGGAATTGCCTGGATGATGTTCAATTACTGGTTTACCGTCCACGTCGACGAAGAATTTGATCAATTGCGACGAGACGAACGACACAATCACACAAACGCGACGAACCCGGTCATTTACGACGATGATGCGATACCTTACAAGACCGAAATGGAGTACTATCAGCAGAATCTCAGTCTCATGATGATTCCTGGCATGGTATGGGTGCTCTGCTGTCTTCGAGCATATCAGTTTCAATCGCTCTTGGAAGAAGCCGAACAAGAAGCGGAAGAACGTATTCGCAACGAATTGGCACAACACAATGCTCATGTGCATGGTGGTGAGGGTGAAGACGACGAGGACGATGTGGTTGAGGAAGACGAAGCGGCGACGACCGGCGGTACGGAGCTGGAGCTGCAAAACCGATCGGCCGTGATTACCTAGGGGATTCGATTCGTCCGTCGTTGTTGTTTTTTGTGCACTCTTTTCTTCTTGTGATGATAACAAGAAGATGCTACAGTACAAGCCAAGAATACACGCCGCCCCTGGCGTTTCGTTTCGTTCCAGTCGCTCAAGTCGACGTAACGTAGGTGGTACCGTATAACTCTAGCAAGGTTCTTTATATTCAAAACCTCCGGGAGTATCGTATCGTACTGACTTCCCATCCGAAGGTGAACAAATATACACGTAGGTAGATACGTTATGGAGCGAGAGGGGGGCTAAGCTGGGCAGAGCAGCGGCCCATCCGAAACGTCTTGTCGACGCAGAGATGCGGGTACCGTAGTACCACTACTGTTGCTAGACGTGGGGTTTTGTTTGCGATGCCCTATCTATCCATTGCACCCAGCTACGAAACGTTACCAACGTAGCATGATCACCAGGAGTTTACTATTAACGCGTACAGTACAGTACACCCCACCACTCTATTCCCCGATGGCATCTTCAAACTCGTCGCACTCTTCGAAATCGTTGTGGCTGTCATCGAGTTTGGAAGGAACTGATTTTTCCAAATTTGCAATTTTCTCCGTCTGAAGTTGCAATTTCTGTTGGAGCTCTGCAATCACTTTTTGAGACTCACCCTGGGTGCTCTCGTGCTTTGCCGTCGCTTGGGATAATTGATCTTGCAAGGATTTTATTTGTTCCGTCGTTGCGGCGCGCATCGATTCGAGCTCACTTGAAAGGGTGGCAATTTGTTCCTCCTTCTCCGCCAATCCCTTACTACTCTCATCCTCGGCTCCGTTGTCTTTGGCGGCTGCCTCCTCCAGAGCAGCTTCCAATCGTCTCTGAGCTTGCTGCTTTTCCTTGTCGAGTTTCTTTTGCCACTGATCTTCGACCAACTTGATGGCCATGACCTTGCTTTGTTCGGTCGTCGACAGATTCTCTTGGAGCTGCTTGACTTTTTGATTGTGAGCATTCTCCAGTTCCTCCAATTGACTCGTGAGGTTGTTAATCTCTTGCTCCTTTTCGTCCAGTTTTCGTTGTTGGCTCTGATTGTCAGCACCCTTGTTGGGCGACTTTTGGTTTGCTCCTTGCTCGGTCAGGTCCCGCTGGTGCTTGGCCTTCATCGACTGGATCTGTTCCTGCAGTTTTTCCACCTTGATGTCCATGCGTTCTTGCAACTCTGCCAAATCCGTTTTGGTCTTTTCCAATTCGATTGCCTTTTTTGCCTGCAAGACATTCTGGTCTCGGAGTTGGGCTTGAGTGGCCGCATTGGCTTCCGCCTTGGCATTGTTGGTTTGGGTCAACTCTTCAATCTTTGCACGGGCGGCCTGCAATTCTCGCTGGTGCTTATCTTCCCGTTGTTGGCGTTCTTGCTGATGCTGCTTTTCTAAATCTTGCAACGCTCGGGTATGATCCAGCATGGATGGTAGCTTCTCGGATGCGATGGACGGCGGGTTGCCACTGCTGGCTTGATCTTTTTCCGGAGTGCTGGGGGTCTTATTGTCTGATTGGTCGTTGCTTTGTATTTGTTTGTCTTTGCTGGAGATGCTGTAGTCTCCCGTAAACCAGAAAGAGTGTTGAGTCGACCCACTGGCCTTTAGCGTCTCTTTCGTCTCTGGATCGCCGTCGGTGGGTGGTTCGAAGACTGGCGGTGGTCTTAAGAATATGGGTGGTGGATCGGGATTGTTTGGATTGGCAGCTTTCAAGAGCTGCACGTTGTAGTCATCCAAGGATGTTTGAACGACAATATCAGTCAAGGCGGCCAACCACAGCATGAGAGAAGCCTGATCGTCGAATGCCAATTTCCATTTGGTTTCCTGTTTGACCAAACCGGTCATGATGGACAAACAGAATGGACTAGGGGCTCCTGTCTGATGTCCCATCGAGGCATGGACTGTCGCCTTTTCCTCTGCCAGATCCAACAAACCCCGTGGCAATTTAACATCTCGGCTACTCTCATCCATACTGGTAGTGCTAGCATTCATGGGAGATTCCTTGCTGTCGGGGGACCACACAGCCGATGCAGTCAGCTTGGACTTGGGGGGAGTGCTCAAATTGGCTTCACTGGCCCGAAGGTCTCGCGAACTACCTCCAAAGATAATTTCTTCTTCGTCCAGGGCATTGTAATAGAGCAAGGCAGTCCCTCGGAGTTCCATACGGCGGAGTTCCCAGGCATTGCCACCCTGACGATGCTTGTACCTGGCAATTCCCCCTCTTCGCTTCCAGACTTTGGCGGTCAATGTGACTGGCTTATCCAGATATTTGTCGTAATTGACTTCGAACCGTTCCATCGTCGACTCGATGTTTTCATGAAGATCCACCGCTGCCGCCGCAATCAGGACATCAGCCTTGTTCTTGGCAGCATGGAAAGATTCCTTGGTAGCAGTCAGGCTACCCTTCAGCTTGGCGCCAATCTGGGCTTTCTTCAGAAACCCTGCCATTTTGATTGCATTGGAATACTGGTAGCACTGTCTGTTGCCAATATTAGTCTTGCCTCTCTGGCTAGCGCTAGCTCGTCTCACGGGGGTGCTTTATCAATGAGCTCAAGGTTGGTGGAAAGCTGTGGTTCCATGGTTGGCCGTTGGTTTGGGGGAAGTGGCCCTCCCGTATCTTTCTGAGTAGACCCCAACCCTATTGCAGATGTCAACTGCATCTCGCGTGGGAGTTGTCTTGCTGGCTGCAGTGTTTGTCATTGCGTGTGTTGGGAAGGCAAAGGACACCATGGAGTCCACAGCGCAAGAAGGACCTATAATAAGCAGATATCCGTGCGGTGAGCTCTCAAACTTCGGAGTTCTCCTTAGACCCAGAAGATATCATGGTCACAGCCGAATTATTCAATCAAGCAACTTCAACCAACCATCCTAGATTACATGACACTGTATCATAGGGTAAAACAATGGAGCTATAATATTATGATCAGCGTGGTAATATTCTACAAGCAAAGGGCAAACCGCACCTTCCACAAGAAATCCGATACACAGTACCGGTAGGACTAGATGATGCTAAGAGGTACAAACAGGACAGCCAATCGACACATAACTTGTTGGCAGGGGTTGCTTGGTTGGGGCATTTGGTTGGCTTAGGACGACGAAGACGATGCACCGGAGCAAATGGAAGCTCCTTGTTCTTGTTGGGCAGCCACCAAAGCACTTCCAATTTGAGCAAATGCCCACGAAGGCACCGATCCGTCCAAGGATCCGGACCGGTGTTTCTCGCTCCTCACATTATTATTGTCCAAGTCCGAAATCTCATTGAAGGAACTCGATCGAGGCTTGATGGGCTGCTTCTTGCAAGTGGGACATCCGCTGGTATAGCAGTCATCGAACGACTGTGATCCCGACAACCAGCGATCTATGCATCCAACGTGCTGTACGTAAAGACGATACGGCGTGTGGTGAGTTAGTTGATGGAATAGCAGATATGAGGAAGCAACTAGATCGCGTGTGAAGCAAACTTACAAATGAATGATCACAGGGCAAGACACGAAGCCGATCTCCGTCTTGAAAGTGTTCCAAACAAATCACGCAGAAATCTGCCTCCGATTCTTTCTGTTGTTGTTGTTGGGCACTATTCATCATTTCCTTGCGACCTTCTGCTTCTTCGACGATGGTCCAACTCCATCCTTGCTCCGTCATGCGCACTCCCTTTTTGTAGGTAATGGCGGGTAGACTCAGAATACTCTGCACATCCAAATGTCGCGACGCGTTGCGTGTCATGCGAGCCACATCCATTTGCGTAATGACATAGTCCAATCGATGAGGCGAGATGGGATTATTGGCGGACAAGGATGACGAAGACATGGAGGGACGCATGGGTCCTTCGCCACAGGTCGATTCCGTAATGGTAGTAAAGTCCTTGGAGGTACTCTTGTGGGCGTAATACGCTTCGGCCAAGGACGACACGGACCGGGTCAAATCTCGATTCTTGTCGTCATCGTCGGGAGAACACAAGGGACGAGATGGTGGAGTGGGTTCGGACGAAAACTCCGAGTCGCACACCGACGACGAAGCATCCGAGTCATCGCAGTCTTCTTGACTGAGGCTGCTGGCACTGTCGGATCTGTGTGTGTGTGCGGGTGGTAGCATTGGATCTTCCAAAAAGCTGGGCAGGTAGGGTGACACAATCAGGTTGAGGAGACTGATATTTTGATTGTCCTTGCTAGTCTTCTTCTTTTTCGGCACAGTAGTAGTAGTAGTGGAATGGTTGTATCCACAGGACTCTGCATCATGTGCCACGGGAAATAGAAACCAGGAAGCCAACCGCGAAAGAGCATGGACCGTGGACATGGTTCCTGCCGCAGACGACTCGGTGAAGTCCTTGACCAAGTGGTGATTGCGACTATTCTTGTTGGAATGATTGCGTTTGCTGCGTGACTTGACGCCACCTGGAAGACTTCCATAGACCAACAAGTGCTGACGGGAAATGTTGAGCATTTCCAAACTGGACATTTTCTGGATGTTCTGCAGGGAGGGATCGAGCTCTTTCAACAGATTCCATAGCATTTCTTTTTCCGAGAAGGAAAGGAGCACGGGTGCCGTCGATGATGACTCCAAGGAGGAAGGAGGTGCATGACGGAACCAACCGATATGAGGTGAATTCTTGCAGTCTGCCAAGGATAAGGGGACCGTCGACCAGGAGGCAGTCTGTTGCCAGGTGGTGTTCTTGGTAGGAATTCTCATGCGAGGTGTGGTAGGCGGAGAATGTCGCATGAATCCTACATGCGGATTCGACTTGAAACTTCTCGGGGACGACCGCTGTCGAGTAATGTTGCGACCCACAGATACCGAGGAAATGACCGATCGACCCGCCGAAGATGGGGTTGTATGGTGGCGCCTCAAGGTCATGGTCTTCTTCTTTGAACTGGATGATGGTATACACATCCTTGATTACAATACGTAAAGTCTCGGAATTCTTCTGTCAAGTTAGATATTTCGAAGAAGGTTAAAAGAATGACAAGGTGAGTGAGAAGAAGGACAGGTGTTGCTTTCTTTCTCTGGTCTGGCATAGCTAGCGCTATCACCGCGGGTGAATTGCTGCTGGAGCTTCGGTGCAAAAGAACAAATAGACGTCTTCAAGCCTTTGTTCTTGACACCAAATAAAGGCGACGAATGCAAACAGATCCAAGCTTCAAAGACAAGCGACAGCTGAAACGTGCCTTGAAGAGAGAGATACGTCAGCCTCAATAAATTTAGCCCGAAGTTCTGAAAAGAATTTCAAGTTGTCTCATTGGAATCCTGAAACAATTCCGTTAATTCTTTCTTGTCCGAGGAGAAGGCACCATAATTGACGTCATCCTCCCCTTCTGGTTTTGGCCAGTCCGATACTGGTAGGCTTTCATCATCAAAAGTGAACTGCCTTTTGGCTTGACACCGATGATGGCAACAATGACAGCCGTTCGAAAGTTGAAAGTCTGGTACGACGGGAAACCGAATTCAACCAAACAAAGCCATCATGATCAACGGAAGAATCACAGCAACTGCTAAGCATAGCAACAACAAACAAAGTACCAAGAGACGAGAGAGAAGGAAGTGACGAGAGGTTTTCTCAGCCAGACTCTCTCACGACTGGGCCTGGTCGCGGCGAAAAAGGTATCCTTTCGACGAAAAGCCGATACACCAGCCGAATTTACGAATTTAATACTGAGTAACCTACCTGTGCGGATTCAACAGATTCTGAAGTTTATGTGGTTGTTGTCGTCGTCTCTTGTTGTTGTTCTTGTCGTCGGGTGTATGGTTGTGAAAAAATAAATGACGGTTTGGAACTCTTTTCACCTCTTTGATGAGCGGCTGCTGCTTTGGTTTGCCTGGTTCTGCGGTTGATGTGTTGCTTCTTTTCCTGCTTCTTGTTTTCCAGAATTCTGGTTCTGGTGGAGTCGACTCATTCGACTTGCTCACTCGCAAGTCGTCCTGCGCATGCAACGGCCAACTCGGCACACGAATGCCTTGCTTTCACATTCGTGCTCGCCGCGAGAGTCGAGGAGCAACGGTCCTCAAAATAAAAGTCTTGGGCATAGCACACACCTCTTTCTACCCACCTAGACTACCTACTAGCTAGCTAGCTAGCCAGAGAGACACAACGTGATCATTGCGAACGTCAGTGGGTTGCTGCCATGCTGACAGGGAGAGAGCAGGCAGCGTCTGCGTCCTTATCATTGTTGTGGGAGCACTATCGGAAAACGGTCTTTAGTATTTTTGTAGCGACCAGCTAAGCCAGAACAAAAACGGAAGCAAGATTTCGGAACGTGATCATGGCTGGTACCGGTACGGAAGCTTCCGTGGGTTTGTGAGAGTTGTTGGGGACAGGTGAAGTTGTGATGACATAGACTGTGAGGGCCATGGTATCCACTACATGTAGTAGACTGAGCAAATAGCCCGAGCTACCGGTACTTTCAAGGTATCGGTATCCATCCTCGGCTTCCTTCAAGTCCTCAACAAGTCAGAGCTGGAGCACTGGAATGCCCTATCAAACTGAAGCACTGTGATCTAGCTAAACAACAACACTTTTTAGGCATAGAGTGCTATGCAACTGTGTGCCAGCGTGTGCCACCGTACCGGTAGCTACTACCGGGTCATCTCGATGAAGGAAGGAAGGCGAAAGACAAACAACCAAAAGAGTCATGCCCGCTGAGCCCAACCCCCTGTTCCAGCTAGCTAGCTGACCAGAGTTGGCTACCGGTACTGACCTTTCATATTTATGGATAGATCCGTCGATAGCTGCCAGAGGTCAGCAGACTATTTTAAAATACCAGGTACAGGTAGAGTGTTGATCCCCACAACATTTCGGTACTTTTTGTCATCGACAAGGTCTCTCCATCTTTCCCTACTTTTGATATACTATCCCCAGCTTCTTCGCTCCTCTCTTCTCGGATGCTTTGACAGGATCTGTTATAGATTTGCTGTACAGTAGTATGGAATCTCAAGTTTGGATGCTATAGTAAAAGTTGGTCACAGCTTTCCTCACAGGTCCTCGAGATCTTGTTACCGGACCTATTCCAACTCTGCTATCTGCAATTCCCCCAGCCCCCAAACCCACCGTGCAAGATCTAGCTCTACTAGCCACTACTAGCTAGCTAGCTAGACTACTAGCTAGACTAGCTAGCTAGCCCACATTGGGGATGAGCAAACTTGCCCATGGCTCTGTGTTGAATTTGTTAGAGCGTTTTTGTAAAAATTGTGTGCGCTAAGCCAATCTTTTACTTTGGCTGTTTTTCTCTATTGGATTAGATTGGATTGCATTGGATTAGATTGGATTGCATTGAATTAGAGTTTACTATATAAATAACAGTACTATTTGGAATCCAATTCAATCCAATTCAACGCAATCCAATCCAATGCAATCCAATTAAATTTATCTTCCGGCAAAAATACGAATTTTGTCTTTTTAACTGATTTTGGCGAGTCACACTCCAATACAATACAGGGCTATTGCAAATTTTGCCCATCCCCATTCCAATTCTACAAACAAATGCTGCATGTAGCGGCTCACATACATGTACCACCAGTAGCATTCAACCAACAGCCTAGCTAGCTAGCCGAAACCGGTACAGGCAGCTTCGTTTCTATTGATTCAAACGCGAGCCGAGCTTCTTCGTACATTTCTACACGAGCACTCGTAGAAGTGTACCAGAAAAGCCGGCACGCGTTTGAATCAGAAAAATCGAAGCTGCTCGTACACGGATGAATGCTGCTTCTGTGAATCCTCCATGATGTGCAGGCGGCGAAGCAGCCCAGCACCGTACGGTAACCATTGCTCGTATCGTGGAGTCATTGCACGTTCGTGAAAGAAAATGAGACTGCCTAGTGTGTTTCAACCTAGTTATTACGGTCCACTGTGTCAAATCAGTAGCTTCCATTGGCGTTTGTGTAACTGTTTTCTACGACTCGAAGTCGGTGGTTAACACGGATGTTATCGGTGAAGACCCCACACACGTTGTAGTTACTTAGATCCATTCACGGTTGTGTCATTTTCTTCATCGAGAACACTCCTCAGAGCTCATCACAGAGAGTCAGCATCTCTTCGCTCGGTTAATCATCGATGCTCAGGTCAAAACATTAATTTTGAGTGAGTCAGCCCCGCTGAGAAAACCGTGAAAGAAGGACGGCTGGAAAACAAGTGAATGAGCAGCTTTCTGGACTTATGCCAGGCCATGGGAAACGAATCGAGCATGGACAGTGAATGGACCATTATGTGGGGCATAACCACAGAAGCCGTACCACCAGGTATTTTTCTCGTCGCCATTTTCAAAGCCCTGGTTGTCACATACATAGCCACAGCGTTCACAACAATAGCAACGGTGTTCCTAAAAAGAGCTTCAGCATTCAAATTTCTCTGTTTAAAACACCAAAAAGCAAGTGGAATAACCAGTCAAGCGACAAGAGAATCCTCCTCACGAAGTCAATCCACAATGCTCCGATTACATGTACTTTCCTGCACTACTCTTGTATTGTCTTGTCTATTGGATGTGTCGTTATCGAAACGAATTCGATACGAACCATTCGAGATTGATTGGGACGAGTCCTTTGAGAGTTTTGTTCCGTACCCAGAAGAAGTGGCAAGAAGTCTCGATCAGAAATCTCCTCCTGTCTTACTGGAAGTGTTCTCCGATGTGGATGTGGGCGAAGAGGGTCTCTACCACGTGCTCAAGGGCCTCGTGCATCGGAATGAACGACGAGTCATTCCAGCAACACACTTTGTCATTCAAGATGGTCTCAGTGCACAGTGCCGACAAGAGCGCGTCACGGCCACTACTGGGAGCAATGGCGAACCCGTCTTGATGACCGTCACCCGACCGATCGAAGCAGAAAACTGCACACTGCATTGCACCAATGGAGGCCGCTACTGTTCGCACGCGTCCGATCCCAACTTTCCCGGACGACACCACGTGCAAGAAGCGGCACGACGAGCCTGCATGATACAACAACATCCTCCTTCACCCAATGGCGTCCACGACATGTTGCTGTGGCAATACTTGGACTTGTTTGACCAACAGGGATGCAACTTGCATACCAGTGACAAGCATCATTATCCCGACGTTCACAACTTGACCGAGTGCTCGTACACGACACTGGATTTGGTCGAGCCGGGACTGGCAGCGGCCGTGCAACAGTGTGTGGAAGACGCGGGTGGATTCGATGCCGATCAAGAGAATGTCGTTTTGGAACAACAAATCACCTTGCAAACCCAACAACAAGTCAATCCTACGGCACACAACCCCACGGTACGATTCAATGGAAAGCAGTACACCCAGGACTTTTTCGTCAAGGATGTCTTTCGCGCCTTTTGCGACATTTTTCCAAAAGGCACGCAACCCTTCTCCTGCAATCATTGTCAGAGCTGCAGCAACGTTCGCAAGTGTCTGTGGCATTTGGACTGCGACGGACAAACACCCACTCTGCAAGACTACTATGCTCACGAGGGAAGGAATTACACACCTCCCGCGACTACGACTGCCACAACAGAGGCGGCCTCTGCTAGTACCACGTCGGGGAACAGTCAAGACAACAACAACAACCTTCTTGGTGGTGCTGGTCCCTGGCAAATCGGGTTTCTTTGGGGCATTGTGGCGGGGCTCTTTGTGGCCGCCGTGTTTGCCTACCGAAGCTTCCGCACCCGACGCATGATTTCCGGCTTGCGGCAAGCCCGCGTCCATTTTGAAGATGACTTTGTACCGCACGGCTTGTCGGAGGAAGACCTGGATCGACTCTTTCCTGACGCCGACCAAGAGTTGGACGCCAAAAAGCATGGCATGAGCACTCCCCAATACCAATCGTCATCCATAGCTACCATGTTGTCGTCCGACGAAGAAACCGAAGACTTGTCCGAACGGTCTCTGCCGTCCATTGTATAAATTTTATGAAGGAAAGGACACAATACGCACAGCGATACATAGTATGTAACAATAGATACGAACGCACAATAGTAAGTTACATTGTTGGAAACCTTGGCTTATCTAAACAGCATGCTGTTCTGCTAGACTAGTCGTACCGTATCCTAACAAGCACCCCTAGAGCGAACTTATCCAGGCATTGAGTTTGATATCCCGAACGAATCGATCCTCTCTAGCTAGCTAGAAGGATGCTTTGGCTACCGAAACAAAAGTGCCACCGGGATGGCCCAAGGAAAGCCTACGGTACCAGGTACCGGTACGAGTAGCGAGGTTCTTCCCAAGCAACGAAGCGAATCCTCACACCACAAGCATTGCCGTGAACCAGCTAGCTAGTACGTTGCTTCTTCCATCGCCATCTATGCCAGCCAAGAATTGGGCCGCCAAAGTTACCTTTGGTGGTACCGTTCGGTACGGTACAGCGGCGCCCAAGCCCCAGCATTCTTGTAGTTGGGAGACAGGAATGTTGAAACCAAAATAACGAGAGGGCATTTTGCCTTTTCCACAGTCAAATTTTCAGTTTTCACCGACCGTCATTCAATCAGCATTATCCTTGCTTGGCTGCATTAAGCACCCCAGAGACCATTGCCATCACATTTTGCACATCCACTTCCATCGCTCCACTACCTATCATGTACATAGGACTCACTCCTACTTTGTCTTTCTGCAGCCTAGTCACCTGCCAGGTTTGGTATGTAGTGGTAATCCCAAAGAAAGACCTTGAATCCTGCTGCTGCTCTTCACGTTTGCGCTTGCCCGTGGCCTTGTAACGGACTGCAGAAAGCTGTGCGACATTCTGAGCCAAGCCTTCCGTTTGTTTGTGTAGTTTTCCTTCTGTGACACAGATGACGCGTGGACACTCCTTGAAGACGTTCGATTTTTGCTTGTTGGATGCCCACCAAAGTCGCCGGAGTGCGGAGTGCATGCATGGTACCGGTACTCCAGAGTATTAGTTATCGTACTACGGATTCGATCCGGAAAAACAACTATAACTGTTCTTGCGCAGCACCGGAATGGAACTGCGCCACCGAGGAAAGGTAGTCTACGGTAGCTAGCTAGCAAAGTCGCGCAAATCGCGAAAGTCGCGCTGCAAGTCGCGCTACTGGTAGTCGCGCTAAGTCGCGATTTTAAATCGCGACTTAGAAACCGCGACTTGGGCGACTAAGGGTCGAAGTCGCGAAAGTGACGTCATTGGGGACTTCCAGATCGGCTCGACGAAGATTGACGGAAGACAGGACCAGGTCCGAAAGCTTTGGCACGGCCGCACCCGGCTCCGCCCTACCGGTACCGTACTAGCTAGTACCGGTACTGTACCATACAGCGTACTGTATGGTGGCTTCATCACAGAAGACAGTTAAAACTCCACAATAGCCTGCTACTAGCTAGCTAGAACAACAGCTACCATACCGTAGTAGACAACAGATAGAGACTGGAACCATGAGGGCGCTGTTGGTGGCAACATGCAGTCTGACACTGTCCTTTGCGGCCACCGTTGGCGTGAATCTGCAAAAGCTGAGCATGACCAAAGAGGAATTGAAACCAACGAAGCGACCGCCGTATTTCCAACCAATTTGGTGCATTGGCATGGCAATCATGGTCTTGGATGCCTGTGGCGACTTTGTTTTTATTGGCTTGGCTCCTCAATCGCTTTTGGTACCGCTGGGGGCTTGTGGTCTGGGCTTTAACATTATATTGGCTCCCATCTTTCATCCCACAGAACGAGTGACTCGCAACATTGTGGGCGCGACTGGTCTCATTTACGTGGGGACGATTCTCACAGTCCTCTTTGCAGCCAACTCGGCGCCAAATTACAATCTGCAAAAGCTGCTGGAGTTCTGCGCAACGCCTCCATTCCTGGCGTATACATTGTTCTGTGTGACGTTTCAAATGGCTCTGGCTTATCACGGCCGCAACGGGAAATTCTCGCTGGTCCACTACTGTGGTCTGGCAGGATGCTTTGGAGGAGAGACCATATTACTCGCCAAGAGCTCCAGTGAACTCGTCAGGAATGCTCTTGTCAATCAACAATTTGACGATTGGACCACCAGCTTCATTCCCTACCTGTTTGTCGCCGGGATGATTGTCTGTGTGCTCACGCAAGTCCATTTGCTCAATACCGGTCTGGCGAAATTCGACACTCTCGTGGTGGTTCCTGTCTTTCAGAGTTTTATCACCATTTTCGGCATTACGGGAGGTCTCGTCTTTTTTCAGGAGTACAAAGGCATGAATGAACGAGACGCAGTCCTGTATGCCATGGGCATTGCCGTCACACTGGTTGGTGTTACTATGCTGATCCGGGAACGCCGCAGAAAAACGGAGCATTCACACAAAACGGATCAGCAATCATCGCCGACTGAACTTTCTTCCCATGAGATGATCGTGGAGGAGGAGCATCTGCGCAAATCAGAGGAAGAGGGGACAATACGTCACAGAAGAGTCCATCACAGCTCGGAAGAACTCGGAGCTCTCGTGTAGCGATCTGTTCGAGCCAAAGCGCATCCTGCCACAACAAAATCAATCTATTTGTGACAATGACAGTGCCTTCACTAGTAGAAGAAGAAGAGGCAAATAGGGACCGGAAGTGGCAACCGTACATGGTTGACAATCTACGACAGCGAAAAGAAATGGCACGACAGATGATTCAATGATATGGACTTCTTGTGTTCGTGTCGTTGAAGAACCAATTGTTGAATGACTCGAAGCTCCACCGGCCAAAGCCAGTCACCTGCAACCATCGAGATGCTTGCATGGCTTCTGTTTTCTATCAAGGCCCAGCATCAAGCTGCACCGCTCAGCCATCTCTTGATCTGGGATGTCATTTCAGTTCATGCGAATCAATCCACAGGAGGGACAAGTCAGTATAGGGGAGGTCGCCGCTATCGGCAACACTGCTAATGGTGCTCGGAACCAACAATGATCTTTAAAATAGTTTCTAAAGTCAATGGTGACATTGGATGAGATAGCAGGTCCGAAAGGACTCAACCTCATGATTGACGTGAGTAGTAAACATGGTCGTTGCCATGGTCGCCATTGGACAGAAATGAACTAAATATAGTAAGGTGGGGCTCAGGGTTAGCCCTTGCGATAGTCCTGGAGGCGGTCCAGCACTGGTCCTGGATTGAATCCTGGGGATGCTAGAGTTGCAATGGCTCTTGTGCTCTAGGTCGATTTGTGTTGGTTCGACCAGGGGGGCCCGGAACTGTGCCGAGAGTGGAACCAGGATGACTCATTTCTTGAGCCCGGAGTTGGTCCAGCATTGGGGTCTACTGGTAGAGTGGATCCTTGTGTTGGGCCTAGCGTGTCCTATATGGTCGTGTAGCATAATACCCTCTTCTTCAGTATATCACAATTAGTATGCACCGTTTCTACCTAAACATCCACCTGACTTGCATATTCTTCGTCTTGGAACTTCTCAGGTGTAGGCATAAAATCCATCTGTTCCATTTCTTCAATCATCTCCGCTGTGACTTCAACTCCACGTGCTTCCCATTCTCTTCGATTATGCATTGCATAGTTCAAGCACTCATCACTTGAGACCCCAAAAACATTGCACTCTTTCAGCTTCTTAGCAAGTGGGATGATGTAGTTGTCAAAGAAGCCAAGTTCACCTTTGTACCAAAACTCTGGGAGGGGCAAAATCGGTGAGATAGGCCAAGATGTGGACATGAAGACATCGATTTCTAGAGCCATCTGGGCTTACCTGCTGGAGACTTCCCCATTCGCCCTTGCTTGAAGGCAACCCACATCTCCTTGAACAGACGTTGATTCCTGTGTTCCAAGGAAAGGGAGAAGTTGAGTAAAGCAATCTATTCAAAAACCAGGAAACAATCCAGCGAGAGAACGTACCATTTCCTGTAGATATGCCAATGTTGCATCTACAAGTCAAGAATAGGGCAAAACCACATTGAGCCAAACTACCACAACAATAGCCTCTTCTCCCAAAGGGAGCCAGAAGTATGTTCACTTACTGTGTGTGACACATCGGAACCTTGAATAATGTGCTCAATCTGTATCGCGAAAGGGTTGAAGCGGTGAGCATTGAAAGTTGGGCGATGAATGCATCCAGCTTCAGAAGCTACTCACCACGATAGTGGCACGCAAGTCGTTGTGGTTTTCATCCTGCACTCCGTTGAATGCTCGATTCCAGCGGCCCTTTCGCAGGCCGTTCAATTCAGGGTCGAAGATGTCCGTGGCAAGCACTACGTTCACAACCACTGTAAAACATTGCAAAGCAAAAGGTGTGAGAATGAATGATAAAAAGTGCCATAATCCCCTGCAAGGACAAGGGTGAGTAGTACTCACCCTGTCTGAATCTCATCAATTCAGCGCGATCTACGAACAAGGCCGCTCGCAGATTCGAGTACTCATCAAGCATTAGCAGGTCCCACGCCAGATCAAGAGAATTCTGTGGGATTATGTTCACTGGTGAGAACAACATTCAATTCAACGGAAAGCAAACCGTGTACATCATCTTCCACATACCTGCTCCGCGATGGACTTGTTGTGGTAGAGGGCTGCCATTGTTTCCTCTTCCTTGGCCAGCTGTGCATTCGAGACTCCACGATGGTCTATGGTGCAAGAAAGGAAAGAGCAAAGAGTGAGGTCACTATTGGTTTTGTCCATCAGAGGTGCCTTCGTCGCAGCGTTCAATACCTGTATCGTGCACAAGCGCACTAAAGACAATGGCCAGCAGCGTGATTGGATCGGTCATTCCATGAGTGTACGAATGCACAGTTGCGGCGATACCAGCTTGGTCTCCTTCTGATTTCAAGTTTTCTTCCTCGACATCAGGTGTGACAATACGATTCAAGAACTTGTCAACGTTCATCACGGTGTGGCAAGCATGTTCAAAGTTCTAGAAAAGAAGAATTCACAATATGGTTAGCCTCAGCTCGACAACGCAATTGGCAAGAACTTTGATTAAGTGTCCGCATCTTACATGGAAGGGGTTTGGCTTGTACATTCTTGCAAGGCCCGTAACCACCTTGTGTAGTTGGTCCACAATATCTAAAGGGATCTTCATGTTACCACGACTCTTAGCTCGAGCATCGGCCTTAGCATCAAAGTGCGGCATCTTGATGACCTCAGCCACTTCATCCAGACTGGTCTTGCCTTCTGGGACATGGTAAACCAGGCTGCTTGGGTCACATTTCCCAACCTTATCAGGATCTTGGCGAACCACGATGGCCTCCATTCTCTTCAAGAACAGATCAGTCATCCATCTGATCAGCCTCTCTTCTTTGCGCGCATCCATCTGAAGGGCACTGCTGCCATCAGAAGAAACTGCAGAGAATCGCAAATCTGCACCGTCAGAATGAGATGCCCCAGATGGGCTCTTCCCATTCACATCAAGCCAGAAAGAGTCCAAAATGCCTTTGCCTTTGACATTGACCAAGTCCGAACGCCGTTCCACCCAGTGTTCCTTCATCCCATAGAACAAGCGACGTGAAGTTAGATTAGCTTTGGATTCCCCGTTTGTATAAGCGTGCTAGTGGCCATACCTTTCCAAGCTCAATGAGCAAATCAGCCGTTGCCTTACTGACTTGGATCTGATTGGGCTTTCCAGAACTGAGCAACCATGCAGGGACCACTGTTAGTTACTTGTGCTTGGCATGCACGAGGGAACACGCACGACGCCTTACCTTTCCATTCGTGCTGCTGTGTTGACACTACGGGAGTGAAGAGAAAGTTTCTATTGAGAGAATGCGACAGCGATAGACCAGTAGTTCCAAACTGATCATTTGCAACTCACGTGTCTCCGAAGAGCTGGAAACGAGCTCTGCGAAAGTATAAAAGGGTCAGACGAATGTTGCAATCATGGAGGCACATGTGGGTGGGACTAGTTTGCACGCACCTGTCTCCTCGTAACACCCCTGCTGTCACCGGTCCGCTGAAAGTTCACAATGGACAGAAACCTGGTTAGCAACATACTCCCACACAACTGAATGTGTGCGCAGCGTTCTCGAATTGACAAACTTACCTGTGAAGCCCAATCCTCAACCCGAGATCACATGTGTCTGGTCCCAGGGAGTGCTCAAGCATTCTGGTCAAGTCGCCAAACTTTGCCAAGCAAGCAGATGCAAAACGAGTCATCACCAGTGCATGTTTATCATTCGGGTTCGGGAGACCTGTGACGGCAACGTAACTATCACCAATAGTCTATAGCGATTAGATAAAAGAGCCGAAACAGGATGAGTGTGTCTCTCTGCGCCGGAACGACGTTGAATGTTCCAAAAAAACCGGGCAACCAGGTACTCACTTCTACCTTGAAAACATTTCGTTTTTTGGCAATGGTATCGAATGCCTGATAGATGGTCTCCAGGAGAGTGAACACGTGCGCTGGATCTCGGGTTGAAGACCAGGCAGTGAATCCGGAAATGTCGCCTGTTCAGGACGAAGCAAACCAAAACGCATGTTTAGTGGGCGGTGTCCAAAAACTGTATTTCCCAGTTCTTCTCTTGACACAAAGCTTACCAAAGAAGACAGTGCAGTGCGGGACTGAGGGTTGGACAGATAGAAGAAGGACGTAAGCACAACTGGAAGCCCCAAAGTTGCAAGACCAGGGCTGGAAGCAGCACCGAACTTACACAAATCGGCAATAGGTTGACCAATTCCGTCCTCTTCGTTTCCACTCATGAAAGCTTTCAATCGAGTCTTTCCCGATGCGTATTGATTTCCCATGAGTCTGTCTCTCACAGCCTCGGGGAAGAGGGATGACACGATGGCGGTGCTCTTCACTGCTTGATCATAGACAAGTGTTTGGCGTCGCTCAACGTAATGGTTAAAGCTGAGAAAGACAATGGCCGTCAGGACAAACACCATGGCAACAGAAAGAGTGACAATCAGAGGCAACCACGTGAGATATTCGTCTTCCAGCTCTTTCGCAGGGTAGACGCTCAGCTTGTAAGAGCAAATGTCTTGATTCAGTGCAACGTTGAGGGCAGAGTCTTCTCCGATATTGTTGGTGCTTCCAAAGTCCCGCGTTTGCACCATGTCGTCTCGTCTTGAAAAGTCCTCGTGTAGGTCACCCTCTCCAAGATATTCCACATTCTCTCCGACGACCTTGTAAGTGAAAGCACCGTCGCAGTTGTTCTCCAACACCAAGACAAGCCCTGCAAAATGCGGAGGTAACAAGTTTTGAAAGTAAAAAGCCCACTTGAAGACAGCCAGGATCAGGGCCACCACAACCCTGTCCTCCGAATTAAAGTCATCAAAGACTGGGAAGAAAACAGACGACATTGGGTCACCCATGTACATGACCTGCTTCCCGGCCTTGCCGCTCTCCAAAAGAGCAAAGTAGCTGGTGGAGATGTCGTTATCAGTCGTATTGCCAGGTGGAGCCGTGTCCAGACCACCAATAGTCATTTCAGCAGTCTCCCACGCCTTGACAATATATGGGCTGTAGTCCGGGTATGCCTTGGTGTCAAAGCCGCTAATGTCTCTTCCATTGGTTGGCGCCTCTTGCCAGAGCGGGAAGTATGGCCCAGGTCCTGTAACCGGAGCTGGAGTGAACGTTTCATCAAACTCATAGATTTTGTTTCCCATGCCACTGCTAAAGTCGATTCCGCTCTCGTTGGATCCAATGGCGTATCCGTCGTCTTGGAGACTGCGGCGACGATTTTTATAGAAGGAAAGCCCGTTCTCATCGTTGTAGGCTTCGGCATTCTTGATCCAGCCAAAGTTCTGGACCGCGTAGGTTTCCCATTTCTCCCTGGTTTCCTCGACCACAACCGGGATGAGACGCGTAAAGAGGGCACCCGACAACTCGCGGGTCACAGCGGCACGAATCTGCATTGCGTAGGCAAGACAAGGCAAGACAGGGGAGTATGGAACCGGTTAGAACGAACAGGAATGAATCGCGCACAGTCACAATGAATGAGATGAGCCAAGTACGACGTCTTGAGCTCTGCTCTCTCACCTGAAAGTCATTGATTGTGACGCACGGCCAGCTCTGGTTGGGTTGACTGGCCGCAAACAAACTGGCTTGCAAGCCCAACGATCCAATGGCCGAGAGCTTGCGGTCCACGATTTCTTCAAAGCTGGTCAAGATCTTGGTGCTGGCTCCTTCAAACTGAGTTTCAAACTCGTCGACTTCGCTGTTGGTGGTCAAAAAGAAGACGACCAGGGACACTGCGACGGCAGCCAAAAGAATGGCAAGCAGTACCAGCAAGCGCAAACGAAAGACTTGCGCGCTTTCTTCCTTGCCAATGGCCATGGCGCCGTCGTCTTCCGAGCAACCAGAGGTGGTATCGTGGCACGTGCTTTCACCGGCCACAGAGTGATCACGGTGGTGGTGGTTGGGCTTGGACTCATCGTCATCGTCACCACTATTGTTGGAGTTGGAAAGGCTGTCGACCGATCGGTCATCGTCGGCCTTGGTCACTTTGGAGGAAGACGCGGTGGAGAGGTTCATGATGCCGAAAAAGAGGAGTTGCTTTGCCAAAGCAAAAGAATAGCCAAACAGAGAATAGGAAGCTTTGTTCTTGTTTTGAAGAGGCAAGAGACTATTTTATGCCGGGAGCGGAGAAGAAAGAGCGAGAGGAAAGGCGATCCAAAGACGCCGAAAGCTCCAACCTCCACCTCAAGACCTCAAAGAATGAATGAATCGAATCGAACGTTCAATCCTGCTCAGTGCCTTTGACAAATCATCACATTTACAATACCGTAGCATGCTCACATCCAATGGCATACCGATAACAATAAACAAAAGGTCAGAGGCAATAGAGGTCCTCAATTGCATCCGGAAACTCGTTTTGCACCCTTAGCTAGCTATTTTAAAATAGACGCTTCCTTGAAGATACCAGTACGTTGCAGAAAATAAATAATGGTCGAAGTGGGAGCTTGGATGATGATACTGAGGCATTAATGACTGATCAATAATGGATGGTCATTAAATCTCACTTTCTGGAGAACTCCATCAAAGAAGCAAAAAGATTAAAAAGAGAACAGAATAATATATACTGAATCATGTTACAGCAATACTGCAATAACTCCTCACTGTGGTCCGAAACGGTGCGTCATGTAAAGCTTGTACCTGAGTACCAACATGTACCGGTATGTATGTATGTTTCAAACTGGCAAGACTGGCTTCTCTTCTTCAATCTGCTTTATTTAGTGACGCAGCAATTTTAAAATTGAACGAAGCATTCTTTCTTTGTTGTAATTGGCTGCAAGAACGTAAGAACGTGAATACAGGGGCAATGCCCTTCGGTACTTACTTAGATTGGTTCTGCGGTCCAGCTTTCGCCAGTCTTTCCTCTTCGATACTATTATAATATATTATTATGTCAAGTGTCAAGATGTCAAGACATCTTATTGACATTATTTCAACCATCAGGAGGGGCTCCGCTGACGTCATGCTGCTCCAAACTTTTCTGGTCAAAAACCTTTTGGCGAGACTTGCATGACTCGCACATGTTTGACTCGCACACGAGTCACACGAGTTGACAAAGGAAAATTGCGAGTCTGTGCGAGTCTGTACGAGTCCTTGCGAGTCTCGTGCTTTCTATTACAGTTGAAATGCAGATCTGTGCGAGTTTGTGCGAGTCTACGCGAGTTAAACGCACAAAAACGCGAGTGGTACGAGTCGAGTCAAGTTTGCGAGTCGTGGGTTGCATCCACGGGAACCACGGAACAGAAAGCCTCGCCAAATAGTGACGTCAGCGGAGCCCCTCCAGGACATCAGAACAATCTCAAGAAAATTTAATGCCAGTACAGTACTTGTGTAAGGTTCAAGTCGGTTTTTATGGAGTGCGGTACTGGTACCGGTACACGTACCTGCACGCCCTTTCCACCTCCCCTACCCCCCACCTTTCTATCTTCATCAGGAGAAACTGGAGCAGGAAGACTTTTGTTCGGCGGGGGAGTGGCACAAATCAACTTACTAGTACTATTTCCTGCAGCATCTTTGACATTTTGGGGGAATAGTTTACCACTTCTAGTCAACTTTAACCAACCTGGACAAAGCTCCACCGCCATCAACCGCCTGCTTTACCGCCTGCTTTACCGCCTGCTTTTCCGCTTTCGACCATTTTTGACCGCTTTTAACTGCTTTTGACCGTCCTCTACCACCTTCTTTTTCGGCGATAGTGGGGGAAAACTCGAGAGTTTGGCTAAAGTGCAGTAACAGTCCCCCACCCTGTAAAAATCTATTTTTAACCGTAAATGTTAAGGACATTGAAATCAAATATTGAGGTAAATTTACTTATAAACCCATTCTCCTACTCAGTAGACTGTTTGAAATTGTTCTCCGTGACAATGATAGTACTCGAGTACTCCCTCCATCCCAAACTAGATTGCACATTTACGATGTCACAGTGCACTTTCAGTCCTACTCAACCAATTAAGGCGAGAAGCACGGATTTAGAAAGCTAATTTCGAGCTCTTTAAATCGATATATATATTGATATATAAGTTGTTCACTCGTTAAGCCACCAGGTTGCCTCAAAAATCGACTTTTGTAATCTTGGATTTATTGACCCAATTGAGAAAGACATCATCATACTAACCTTTAAGTATAGTATACCAATCGAACACTCTCGATTTGGAGAAGACATAGAGAATAAAATCAAGCTTCTTAGAAGGATTTAAAAAAGGTCGATTTGCAGTTCTCATGTGTTAACGGTCGACTCGCTAAGATGGCAGGCGATTTTACTATCAATATTTGTGTACGGCCGGCGCTTATGTTAAACTAGTTTGGGATGGAGGGAGTACTGTCTTTATACCTCTTTCTGATAAGAGATGCTCCATTGGTCCTGCACAATAAATCTTGGACTGTTGAATACTCACATTTTTCATACTGTAATCTTCTTGCACGTTGGTCCACTCTGCCGCTCCTAACTCCATCCAGTACCGGTACCGGTAGGGCTAAGGGTATTGTAGTATCATGAAAGAAGGATGGACTCGACTCGAATCGACCAGTATGGTCAACGGCTATCTTCTTTGAGGTTCCTTGGAGGCAGTTTGGAAGTATAAATAGTTTCCTCTTGCAATGAGGGGTACTGGTAGATGAGGTCTACGTTGTGCCATTCTGTTTTTTATAGTAAAACCGTATAATAGAGAGAGGGAGAGGGGCGGGTGGGAGATCTCTGTATTAAATTTTGTGAGGCCGAAGGTCGAGCTGGAAGTAACAGTCATCACTACTACTAGTAGTAGATCAATTTTGTGAGGCCGAAGGCCGAGCTGCGTTCAACCTCTGTCAATCATAAGAGCACACTGATTGTCCGGCCTCCGTGTTGAGTAGCAGCACGCCTGGGGAACCCCCCGTCCGAGTTTCCACGCCCCGCAGCGTGGAAACTTGAACCCTGATGGGTTCTCGCAACTATGACCCTAATCATGGTTGCCGAGAGGACCATCTCACTATCCGCGCTCCTCGCCTACAACTCAAGTACATCTCTACATCTCGCAGGTCATCACCTGCGTTCCGGAAATGGATACCCCACATGATGATGCACCGCATCAGCTCCTCAATGCCTCTCGAACAAGATTACTCTTAAGGCAACGGCACCCGTCCAAGACCACATTTGGCAAGATCGACAGCGGCAACCATGAATCACTAAAGCCAGCGACCTAGCCAAGACCAGCCATTGAACTGCTGATCGCAAGAAGGTTGTCTCTCTCTCAGCTCACAATTCTTCATTCAGCCGACGCTGAAGGCAAGAACCTAGATTAGATTAATCTCTTGCGCCGGCATCAGGTTTCGTATCTTTTCGACCCTCACCATGGCCAGCTCTAATTTTTCGGATCTCGTCTCTCGTACAGCGGCATGGGAGGTACATGCTCCAAACTACACTGATATCCTCACTTCTGTGGGCGGCGCCTCGATTGCAAATCGTGATGTTGCCTCTCGCGCTATGAGCCAATTTTTCCTTCGTTCGCTTGTCACCTTTGGCTTCGTCCTCTAAAATGATGAAACGAATATCTACATTGGACACTCACTCTATGCCTACCCCGTGAATCCGAGCCAGGTCTCTCCTTACGACAATCTCTACGCTATCGTGGTGGGGAACGATCTTCGAAGCGCTATCACGGTGGTCCTTCCCATGTCTGCGTTCGAGCGCACGGCTGACGTAACCTGCCACAACATGACAATTATTGACGGAGGAACCATGTTTGCCGCCGCTCCGGCTCCTGTGCTACACAGTGGCCCCCACGGCGGTGGTGTCGCGGACACTGATGTCTTCCGGGTCCGTCGTGTGATGCCTCTTCCGTCCTATCTCTCTGAAGCCGTCCTTGTGGCCCGTCCCGAAGGACAGTACAGTCTTCCCCAGTTCCGTGCGGAAGTCCTTACCCCCGAGATGACTCACGCGGATCCTGCGCGACAGGCTGCCATCGCCCCTTTGGTCCAATGGTTCCGCGCCTGTTGTACGTTGGTCGCGGGAGGTCACACGTCCACTAGTAATGCTGCTGCTAACGTGGCCGCGCCCATTAGCGCAAACGCGCTCCAACGAAGCACAAACCGGGTACTCTCCCCCTACCTGGCGGCGCTTGGCGCGGTAGGTCCGGGCCTGACCAACGCAACCTTCAACGCGGGAATCACGAACCTACGTGATACGCTGGAGGCCACTGTTGAACAACAACTCCAGTATGACCGTGAGAAGAGCAACAAAACCTTCACGGATAAATTCGGGGTCGCCCTAGCCACTCGCGTCCACAACCTCTGCAACGTGGCCGATGACGCAAACCTTCCCGTTATTCACCGTCTGCTCGCGAAGTCCCCCAAGGGGAATGAACACGGGATCTTGCAAGCTCAACTAGACGAACGCACTCAGGCTTCGGCACTGCCCATTAACCTCGCGAACAAACCCTTGGTCACTGGACACATTCTGGATCGTGTCTTCCGCAAGTACTTCGTGAACGGTCAAGGGACCACCTTGGGCGAAGGCCTCTCCCCCTTCTCGGTGGTGTGCCAAGGCCATTCGGAAGCGAAGGCAGTCCAGGACTTGGCTGCTCGAGCGGAGTACGTTGAGAAGGGAGCCTCCGTCACCTTGGAAGATGCCATTGCCATCACTTCCACCGACGTCAAGTTTCCCACCGATGGTCGCATTGCGGAGGAGAAGCTCTATGGTTTCTCCATCATGATAGATGTCTTCCATGGAGGAAACCATCCCGTCTCACGCTCGGTGCGTGATGTGGCCCTCTCGCTGGGATCCTACCTCCACACCATCCATGGCCTACATGCTGACAACCGGAGTGTGGCGGTGGACTTGTGCAGTCGCATCCTTTTCGAGGTCCAACAAGATTACTTCCTGTGGGTCAACGAAGCTATCCTAAACCCGGGCGCTGCTGCCCCCAACTTTGGTGCGCTGACTAGACTCGTTCAGTCCTCCCGTGCCTCGTCTCTCGCTGAGCTCCCTGCTCACTGGTACTCGTTCTTCAAGCCCGCTCCCGAGCCGCCGAGCAAGAAGCCTGCCGGAGCGAACCAACAGCGAGCGGGAGCACACCCGGTCACCAACGTCCACGGCGATGAGGACCTCTTGAAGCGTTTCCAGGACTCGGGATTCCGCTCCATCACTGAAATGACCAAGGACCATCAGTACACCATTCCCAAGCACGGTGGTCAAGACGTCTGTATGGCCTGGGCCCTCAAAGGCAGCTGCACCTCCGGATGCAAGCGCGCTGCTACCCACAAGCGCTACTCGGCAGCTACGGTGCAGAAGCTCCACACTCTCCTCACGGACTGTGGAGTTGCTGACCCGCAGCCCTGAGTCTCCACGCCTGGACTCGCCACCCGTATTGGAGCGCCCACTCCTATCTCGGTGGCGTCCATGCCTCGCAAGCAGTTTGGTCTCCGCCCCTTTGATCGCGATGTCTCTCCTGTGAAACCTCCAAGGACTAACAGGAGCACTCCTGCTCGCAAAACACCTTCACACGAAATTTCTACCACT